CTCATTATTTTGGGGCAAATAAAAAAAGCTGACGTGGCTATGGATGCATCTGGTACCTTCACTGTCCTGCAGCCTCCTGCACTGACTGAACTGTGAGGTCTGAGAGCACTGGAGCTGTGCAGAAATTTTGTCACAAATGATGGAAGGTGGAGATGCAAATGTTCCTGGTTTACTTTCCTTCACAGACTTCTTCCTAAATCAGGGCTGTTCTCTCACTTTCAGGCATGTCAGAGAGGCTTTTCCCTCAGACAGCACTCTTACAAGATAGTTTAAGCAAAGGTTTTTAAGCAGACACCTTGAAATCTGAGACAAACTCCAATACTGGTCCCAGCTCAAGAGAAACAAGCTCCCCTGCCAATATTTCTCTCCCCATTTCCTTCTCCCACTTTGTCCTGCTTTCCCAATATTTGCAGAGGTATTGAATTGTGAGTTATAAAGTTTGAAGGAAAGGAAAAACCACAATCAAACCCACTGGCAGGTCATCAACTACAACCAGACTGGGTGAACAAACTACAAGCCAGGTATCATATTTACATTAGTTACATACAGGTAATTCAGTGTGGTGCCATTCCTCCCTCATCACCCCACGTGGGACAGATTGGAACAGACAGAAGTTTTGCCATTGCTTTCACTAGGGCCAGGATTTCATCTGGATAAAAATCCATGCTATAAAATTGTAAATCAACTGCACATCAAGGATGGAGTAGTTGTCACTATCACTGCAACTTTAAACAAGACACTTACTTTTAATATGGCTTGAATTGAAGCCAGAGAGTAATAGAGCTAAATCTGTGTGCAATGCTTTTCCACTTACTTTTTCTCAAGTAATATGTATCCAATTGAGCAACAATAACAAAGGAGAACCACACATGTACTCTTGCAAAACATACTTACGGCGTTTAGTAATTTTCAATAGACAAATAAGACGTGACAGATGGATTGGAGAAAGTTGGGTTGACAAGATTTACTCATGTGGAGGCAAAAATCAGGGTTGCTTTATGAAAAAAATCTGGAAATCAAGGAATTGTTAATGGAAACTTTCATTGGGCTTATTTGTTTATATTTAAAGGGTACTATAGCTGGTTCCATCTCTGCTATGTGCTGTTCCCTCCCCATGCAGAGGACAGCAAAAGAAAATACAAAACAATAAACGATACAAGAAATCCATCTGGAGTTAAGGTTATATTTATTGTTTTAAACTTTGCACACTCAACTTGATCACCATCTTTCTGAGAACTCTGTGCTCAATAGGAGTTTCCTGAACAGAATCTGTGACCTGGTGACACAATATAGAGACTTAAAACCAACATCAGAATTGAAGTCAATGGTATTAGAAAAAACACACCAAAAAAAAAAAAGGCAAGAACAAAGCCCCCTACACTCTTTAAGGGATGATTCTTTTTCTTTTCATACATCAACAATGACATTTCTTTTTACTCTACAATAAGGACACAAAGTCTTTGAAGGACACAAGAAGAGGATCTCAGTGGTTGAAGAGCTCAACAGAGCTTTCAGTTTTATGGCTGGTTGTACCACATTTAGGCTATGATCCAGCATTAAGTGACTTCAATGAACTTTGGATAAGGCTTTTAATCATATCTATTCCTTTTGACTGAAATAAGGAGATGAGTATCATCTGAGCAAAACCTTTCCAATCCACGTACAAAGATGAAAATGCTCGGAAACTTTATAAAGTACAGGGCAAAACCCAGAATCCACTGAACAGGAGTTTCACCACAAATTTCAGGTGGACAAGGATTTCCCTACTGCTCTCCTCAAATTTCCTTTCTTTAATATGGCAGAAGAATCCAGGTGATGTAAACCAAATAACCAGCACTCTGTTTCACAATAAACAGAAAGAATCTTTTCAGATCACAGATATGGCCTCAACATATGCACTTAAAACACTTTCTCTGCCATTTCCCATCCAAACCATGCCCTGTATGATGCTTCTAATCTTCTGCAAGACTGGATGATACGACATTAAGAGGAAGTAAGAACAGGAGTTCACCAAAACTTCTGTCCAGCAGCCCAGGAAATGGCAGAGCTAATACGGGGCCTTTGAAAGCAAGTGACCATAGGAAATCAAGGTTGGCAGGGATTTAACCCTTCATGACTCATTTTGCTAACTTTTAAAGCAAATGCCTGAGCTTTTTAACCATGTTTGACATCTAATTAGTCGAGACAAACAAGAAGTTAAAATACATCCTTGATTTTCTTTTGAAATAAAGCACCAACAATTAGCTCCAAGGTATTTGTTTAGCCAAACAACAAGCATACATCTTAACAGAAAGCACAATGACGGTCAAAGAAAAGTGGAGTCACCTGGGTCGTTCTTTTCACCCTGCATGTTTGGGGTTTTTTTTTTCAATATCGTAAGTTTATTTTACCCAACCACATCTCTTCATGGAGATGAGGAATGGGTAAGTAACTGAGTAGCTTCTTTTTCTACTTGCAAGCAGTTTAAATAGAGATGAATCACTTGGTATCACCTAGTCACATGGCGGTGAAGTATATCCAGAGAGATAAGTATTAGCATGTGAGCTATTCTGTCAGTGCCTAAAAGACGAATTTTCAATACCCACAGCGCTCAAGGATGTTCCTACGCAAGGTGTTAACACTGATCTGTGCACTGAGCACTGTGCTGGAAGCAAAATTTCTCTGGAGAAGCACCAGCTGACAAGGCTTAGTCTTCCCTGACTAACAGTGATATCCCCATACCTGGGATCAACGCAGCAGCACTCTCCTATTGACCTGGCCAAGCTTTTACACCAGTACTTAACATTAAGCATGCAAGCAGTCCCATCTGATTTTTAGAGTTACACGTTTGAAGTCAAATATGTGAATCAAAGGCTACAGTGTGAATTCCTGTAAGTCTTCAGACTTCAATTTGCTTTGGATTAAGTACACATTTCTGTCTTCACTAGATAGGAAACAGGGTTGCTCGCCATTTGAACACATTTTTGTTGCACAGTGACCCACCAAGTATGAAAGAGTTTTGATGTTCAACTCAGTTTCCTATCTTCCTCATATAGGACTGACCATACAGCAAAATTTGATATCTGATATTTTAAAAGATGAAAATGAGAGTCTTTATCCCAGCAAGAGCAGAACTGGAAAACAACCAATCGGCAAAGTAGCAAAATATTTTTTAAAGGGTCCACAGATACAGCACCAGCAGGGTGGAAAAAAAAAAAACTAAGAGAAAAAAGAGACAAGAAAAAAAGAAAAGCACTATCAGTCACATTTGGCAACTCTTTGAAATTAGTTTCTGTGCATTTAGCCAATATGAGCAGGGGTAGCAGACTTCAGCCATAGATAAACTTTAAAAGGTGAAAAAAAAACCCCAACAATAATTAATTAGGCATTAAACCCTTTTACAGGATATTTTTACAGCATTTATGCTTCTGTGTACTCATCTGAGTTTCAATATGACTGCAGAAGTTTGGAAGCAATTAAGAGTTTTTTAATGAGTTTTCTGACATGACATGTAGTTACTGTAGAAGCTTTCTTTAGACTCCATGACTCAAAAAAGCCAATTTTGTGTTAAATACAATTTTTTTTCTCATTAACAGACTCTGAACCCCTTAAACTGTTCTTTTCATTCATATATTTTCAAGTTTAAATACACACAAATATGCACATATGTGTTCTTTAAGAAAACCCGGCACATGCATTTATTTCACACAAAGCATCCAAGTTTTGCAGGTGCTTAATTCTTTATTTCATCTGGAGTGTGAAATGACGCCTGCCCTGTATCAGAGAGGATCTTCCCCCCTCTCATTTGCAGCACGAGAAAGATGAAAAAAGAAGGAAAACGTATTTCTACTGGCAGGAGATGTACTGACACTATGCTGTAAACTGAGATTGACATCTATGACCAGGCATGCACACACATGTTCTCTTTTTCCCTCTGTAGAAGCAATGTGTCATTTTTCCTCTCTCCTTTCAGAACCGTAGCTGCAGCTCCTTCTCTCAGCCATCAATAATCTAAGAATTATGAGGAGGCAGCTCTTCAGAGAGATGTGTATGTACCTAGGTGTACAGCTCTCTGTTTAAAAAAATACTCCACAGCTCTTACATTTTAAACTTCTTTCCCAGTTGTACATTCTCCAGATTTCATGAATTGTTCTGAAAATGTACTTAGAGTGGAACTATGCTGATAAAGAGAAGAGCCTGTCTACTTCACTGCTCTCCTTTAATACTGGCACTATTATACAAAAGTTAATTACTGACAACTGCAGTGTGAGTGGCATTACACAATTTCAAACATAAACGTAATCTCACAGCTCTCTTTCTTCAGTTACACCTTCCCTGTGATCTCTAATGACACACATCAGACTACACCAAAAACAACCCTGGTTCAAATAAATCGCACTGCATTAAACATCCATAGGCAGCATTTTCTGGTGCCTAGCAGTCCTCTCCTCCTTTTCTGGACTGATCTGTTCCTTTCAGTTTATAGTTTCTTGGCAAACCCACCATCTACTGCTTATGTTAGGCATCTGATTGTCAGATTTGTACAAACTGAATATTCATGACTTGAAAATTAACCACTTCATGCCTAAAATATATTAAAAAATATATATAAATCTTTATCCATTCCATGATGTTTAAAGCAGATCTGAAATTGTGGCTGCACTGCAAGCTCAGCACGGGGGAAGTGAGCTGGGTGGCCAAACGCGACTCATCGTTTTGAAGAGTAAAGTCCGGTGAAATAGAACAAGACTGAAAAAATGCTCTAACAGGGATCTGCACGATCCGGAGTCCTCGTCTGCAATCGCAACTAACTCTTCTTTGTCTGGGTTTAAACTGCCTGGTACCGACCGCAGCAAGGAGAGGCTTTTTAAGAAAATGTTTTCAGGAATTTCTTCTAATGTCAGTTTCCCCTTTGGAAGATAAGGAAGAGCAGTGAGGAAGGTGAGGAGGGAGGGAGCGACGGGGCAAAGAGAAAAGAGGTTCGGAGGAAAACCGAGAATAAGAGAGAACAACAGACTTACCTTTATACGACAATTTGAGCCTTGGCACATTATTCTTCACATGCTGGCAGTTGACTCTTCCTGCTAGTAATACTCCCAAGGAAAGCAAGGCAATCCCCCTGAGCCAGCCCATGCTGCAGCAGCCACCGTAGGGTCCCCGCCAGCCGCAGCCGTGGCGCTCCCCGTCCTGCCGGGCGCCGCCGGGGAACTTCAGGCAACCTGGGGAGCGGAGGTAACAGGTGATGGGGGTGGGCTCCGCTCCGCGCCCGCCGCGCCCCGACGCCGCTGCCGCCCCGGCCCCCCGCTCTTCTTCTCCGCCGCCGCCGCCGCCGCCGGGGCAACTTGGAGCCCCTCTCACGCACACGCCGCGGGCCGGAAAGGGAGGCAGCCCCCGAGCGGCGTGCGGCGGGGGGGCGGCATGCTGCGGGCGGCGGCGGCGGCGCGGGCCGGGGGCAGGGGCCGGGGCCGGGCCGGGCCGGGCCGGGGCGGGCCCCGCTCCGCTCCGCTCCGCTCCGCTCCCCCGCGCAGGGCGGGCGGGTCCCGGCGGCGGGGGCGGCCCCGCGCTCCCCGCGCTCCGCCGGGGACACCGCGCTGCCCGCGCTCCCGGAGCGCCTGACAATGGATGGGAGCGCCGGCAGCGCGACCCCCCCCAGCCCCCCCGTCCTTCCCCGGCTGTCACAGCACATGCAAGGAGCTTAAAAAAAAAAAAAAAAAAAAAAGGGGGAAAAAAAAAAAAAAAAAAAAGAAACGCATCGCGGCAGAGATGAGAGAACAGAAACCTCCGCTCCGCCGCGCTTGGGGAAGGCACGGAGCTAGACATTTCACCAGCTGTTTCATGTCATTGTCCAGGTTGTTCGGTTTGGTCTTGCTTGGTTTGGGTTATTTGGGGTTTGTTTGGTTGGTTGTTCGGGGCTTTAGGGGTTTTTTTAAGCTATTTTGCAGTTCTAATCAAAAGATGCACGTCCCACTTTAAAAACAACAACAGCACAACACAGCCCACGACGTTGCCACCCACTTAAATAACAGCTCCTGCCCATAGAGTAATCCTCTTCGGGTTGTTCCCAGTTAAAAACAAGTAACAAAATCTCCCATCAGCAGAACTTTACCACTGAAGCTTTTAAAGCCTTGTTAGGGAAGGTTGCTGTAACCTCCCTCCCTCCCCACCTCCAGCACTACTCCAATTCAAGGAAAGAAATTCCTAGTAAAGCCCACTTCAGCAATCAGTTCAAGACATGGACAGGTCTGTAGGGGCTCATAAATTACACAGGGGTATTCTCTAAAGTGTTCTTACCAGTTGAAAATGTTCCAAACCTTCCAATCTCTAGGACTGTGTGATTATTGTAATATATTTTTGTGCAATTAAACTAGATAAAGATTTTTTTGTTTGTTTGTTTAGACAGAAGGACACACAAAATCCCTAGAGGTCTTTAAGGAGGTGTAAATACAAACATATAAGCAAACTCAAGCTCTCCCCTCCCACATATCTGAACAAACCCCCTTCTAGTCAGTGGTGGTTTATTAAAATCTCCATGCTGTGCTGAATATCAATGTAATGTGTATTTAGGAATGTAATGTCTTACACAGATATGTATCCTACATTACATTCCTAATGCCGTATTGACAGAAACACTGGCAATCGACCTTTGTAAAACATTGGCATCATCAAAGTGTGATGACCCCTCTGTATTTCATTCTATGGTTTTCCAGAGCATGGGAGTGCTTTATGGTGACAGAGTCAATGGTATTTCAGTGGGAGTCTCTTCCTTCCTTTTACCACTATTTACTGTGGTTTAAAAACCAGTTATCTAGTCCCACTGATGGTGACCACACTACACGCTGAATTACACAAACACAGCATCTCTCTTCTGTGTTCAGACCTAGCTGCTAAACCAGCATGTAGGAAATAGTTTCCAATTTAGAAGTGAAGTTCATAGTTGAAAAAGCGGGTGTCAGTATAGTTCTAATTAAAATGTAAAGGCTTGTGCAGAACAAGGCTCTGCACTATGCTACTATGGTAAAACAAGGGCTAAAATTCTGTCATTGCTGCTTTCATTGCTTGATATTCACACACCAGTGGAAAAGAAGGGGCTTTTTCCCTCTCCTTTTTTAACAAATTCTTCTGCTTCCTGAGCTTAATTCATTAATCCTGTGGCATTGTATCTGCCAGATTCAGCAATTCCATTGATCAGCAGCATTGTTAAGAAAAGAAAATAAAAAAATAATGTTGATTTTGGTCATTCCCACACTTGTTATCCTGAGCATTTTCATGCTTCAGGCAGTGGATTAGAGCTCCAAAATGACAAGAGACGCCTGTCTGTTTTCCATGGATTACTTGCTACAGACATTCACTCTGCAAAGGAATTCATGTCACTTTGAGATTATTTGGAGAATTGGCCTAATGAATTATCCTTTTGTATTGAGCAAACAATTAGAAACAAAACACAAAAGATGCACCATATTCAGGACTTTATAAAGCACATCATTTTACAATGATGTTGTTACACTCAATTTACTTCTAGTTGCATAAAGAAGGCACAGCTACTTCTTTTTTTTCTTATAAGAAGATAACACAAAGCTAAAAACCTATCTTTCTCATGTAGAATGAAAGTGTAACACTCCAGACTATTTTACATCAATCAAATAAACAAACCACATCCCCAGTCAATATATATTTTCCCTAGAAAACATATGGATTGGATACAATGAACATTTGCTTATCCAAGATTGCATCTGAGAAATATAACACAGCATTATTTAAGGAGGGATGACAGAGACTTTTCACATCCTTCACGGGAGAGATCACTCACTTTTTGCCTTCCTCTGTGGGATATGACAGTCCAAAGACATAGAGAAGGGTAAAACCTGATCCTTGTGCTATTTAGCTCTAAGTAGTGCTAATCAGCTAGTCAGGAGAGCATATGCTACACCCCCTTATAAGGACAGGGGCAATGGCAGCACTTCAGTGGTGCTTGAGGAGGCTTTATATCTCACAGGCACCCATTGCCATATGGTGCTTCTGCCAAGGCAAAACTGGGCTCTGCTTGGAAGGAATGACTTGGCCAACGCTCTTACAGCCAGTGCCAGAAACGTCAACTCTGGGAATTTAGGGTGGGCAACAACTCACTCTCAAATAACAATCTATTCACCTTTTTTCTTTGGTCTTTTTAAAGAGGTCTAGCTGCTGAATTTAGAGAGAGGCAAAAAAGTAAAATCCAAACTTTCTCAGTTCTTCAGATAATACCCTTAGCCCCTGAGGAAATGAAGAACACCCTTATTAGCTTAATGAATTTTTCTGTTATTGGGAAGCAAGTTCAAAAAGAATAACAGTTCTTCTGCATGTTTTCCCATATTTGTTGCAGATTTTATTTTCTGTACTGGTATTTATAAGACATTCTATATAGTGTTTTATGTTTAAACCCCAGATAGGCCCTTGTGAGCTCTGTTTAACATTTCTGCTCTCATGCTGTGTTGCATTATTATTTGGAGGTTTTTTATGCCACCTTCCAATATGTGCAGCAACTTCACATTGATAGATCTCACAAAAAGTTATACTTGGACGGTTCTGGGCTTTTACTGCTGACCATCCATGCAGAATTACTCTAACAATCACTTACAATTTGGCATCGTTTGGTGCTTCTCATTACTCAGAAATAGTGTTACTTGACTCATAATTACTTCAAACCTTGCTGCTTGCTGTGATTTTTATGCTTAGAAGCTCTTGAAAGCTTAACTGCTCTAAGAAAGTCGTTAGTGTGCTTTAGAAATGTACTTCTGTTTTCAGGATTGTTTCCTGTGTTTTGGATGAGTCATTACTTGTTTATATGGATGTGATCAGGTCCTTCTCAAAACTACGCAGGAATTACCAGAATCCAGTTTTGACACTTGGTACTCATCCAGTAATCTTTGAGACAAAGATTTCTTGGGTTGAGTGTGCAATTTCTGGCTAAAATCAGAGAAAAAAAATCAAAACTTTTCATTCTGCATCTGATTGCTAAAAACCTCCTTAGAGAGCACAATCATGCAGGAAATGTGAAATCTTCTCGGATACACTCCCTGCTATTTTTGTCTATAGCAGGTGAATTGCTTGATAAGCAGAATGTTTACAGTTCTGCAAAGGGTCCCTTTGAAATTCTCCAGCTGTATATATAATGATTCTCTGAAAGTGCTCTCAAATAACCAAATCATTATTGGTCCAAAAGGAGGCTTAGTCTAGAAAACAGTCTTAAGTGCATTTTTCATTTGATGTGTGAGAGACCCAGAATGCAGTGTCACAACCTCAGAACTTCAGAAGCAAAATCTCCTGTAAGAATATCCAGATATCATCTACCACATTTTACCCTTATGTCACAGGCTGCCACTCTCTCATGTGGGATGCTACAAACTTATTGTGGGAACATACTAGCAACATGGTGAACAAGAATGTTTAGAAATTCTCCTTTTGGGCATATGAAAGGGGTTGTTTTTAATGCAGTTTCAGTGCATGCACCTGCTAATGGAATGAAAAGAATAATCAAGTGGTGCTGTGGAAAAACAACAATGCAGAGGAACTTTGGATGTCATCCTCTCTCCTGAAGGAAACATATCATCAAGCTCTACCTCTGAAATTCAAGTCCTTTGCCTATGTAAGACAGGAATCTAAACCTGGAATCTATTTGACATGAAGCTTAATGCTGACACAGTTGTTTTCTTTCTCTCATGGAAGAAGAAAAAACCAAAAAGGAGGAAACCTATAAAAGGCCTATACAGAGAAGAAAAATGCTTCTGATAGCCAGACCTGCTGAACTGGATATCAGCTATTATTTTTACAGTGTTGATGATTATCACATTAGCTTGAGTGCTTATAAGTATCTGTTTCCACCTGTTTTTTAGGGGATTTTAAATTCTGTTGAGTGGCACTTTTTGAGTTCTGAAGCAATCACAAAGCAAATTTATTTAAAAATGCATCAGCAAAAAGAGATGTGCAGGTGTAGAGTTTAAAATTTTGTGAAATTCGGAGTTGCCAAAATCACAGGCTTACATTTAGATCTGGAAATATTCTTACTTTTGGAAGTCTAGACAGGTCTTTTCCCAGCTTTCCCTTGGGCTGTGTTGCATTTGGTAGCCTTATTCAAATCTCCTCAATCTATATAAATCCGTAACATTTCTTAT